GCCAATTGATCAAGCGTATATCATACGGGTCAGACGTAACGTGTGTTGTGCTGTTGAAAGCATTCGTAAGCAAGCGTTACGGTAGCTCAGATATCACTTGCTAAGCTCGCGGTTGCACGCCTAAATCACTACGCCTTATACCAAGGCTTGCGTTGCAGCACTGACTGACATGCCACTCAGTGTGTAGTGGTGTCTCATGGAAAGTTTATCAAGAACGAGAATCTGCGCGGGGCACATCTTAACCCTTTATGTGGCTACATCGGTAGAAAAAATGCTTCATGCTATCCCAACACCCGACTTGTATAAACTGGTAAGCACATATGTGCGCACGTGTGAGAGGTGACGGCGATTTGAACCCACCGTGTTCTGCAGTATCTCATTAACCTGCTGATGTTGACGGAGTGCTAGCAACTCAGCAGTACGGAGTTTTTTGGTTAGCCAAAAGCGAACCACCCGAAATTGTGATCTTTTCGACCGTCTGAGCAAGATAGCCCATTTTCCTGCTGTCAATGACAAAAGGACCGGTGATTCGACAGCTCAACGATTCCTCGACAAGCGTTCTCCAACATGGCTTTTCAGTGGTGATTGTACCGGATATAGGTTCGCGATATGAAACGCTGCATTTTATAAACAAATGGCGAGATGAAGAGCACAAACCGAATGATGGATGATGTTCTCCGGGGTATTTGTGCGGACACTCAATGAGTTTGCGTCAAGTGTTGTAGTGCATGCCTGTATGGCTGAATCTTTTTTTATAAATATATTAATAAACCTCGTGTGCCCTTGACACTACCTCAAAGTGGGTCTGGTTCTAGTAGGGGTGGGGCTGTCAATCAAAATCGACTTGCTGATCCGCCCGCTATACCTCGCAGCAAAATGCGTGAATTTATATCAAGAAGATTGTGCATCATGCGCTGGGTGATCGACATTATCTTTGAAATCGAAAAAAACAAAAGAAGCACAGGAAGGCGGAGCACACACAAATATGCTGTGCGGTTAAAGGCTCTATTGAAAGCAGTTGATGTACCTATACATGTAGTGCATGCGGTCTATGATATCATGTCTATGGTAATAGATTCAAATGTACTCTGAATAGTCTAGAGCAACTGTAAACTCACCCAGCTATCTTATTAAGCTTACTGAAGTCACAACACAATCCTTCTTCCTACAAGCCAGCCAAACGCGAAGAGCTCTGTCGCAAGCTACATCTCTGTCTTTACCAGTAGCGGAGCTACCTGCACCTTTAAAAAAGCGTACGATTTTCAAACCGCTATTAGTGCCTTTTTAAGGCAGTGCGGTGACAAAGATCAAATTGTGGGTCTGGAGTCCACACGTCGTGACTCTCGTTGAGTGACAACCTGCTGCGTCACACCCGGGAGAGATGCCGAGACCCAGCGACTGGAGGGTCGACCTCTGTCGACACTGCACCATAAGCAACGGGGAGTCCATATATACGTAAAACGTTTGCTTCACTGTTGGGTGCACAGAAAACGTTACCCATACCTGATAGACGAAACGTTTTCGCTGTCATTTTAGTCGTGGGAGCTTGAGGTTTCACTTCGGCGAAATTTCCCTCGCTTACGACGCTGCGTACCCTTGGCCTTGACAGCAGACGGTACAGTTGTAAAATAACTGAATTCTTTATGGATCTGACTTATTATATCGAGACTCATAGCAGCCTGGGGACAGGTTTTCGTTGATGGACAAATACGACTTGTTCCTGGGTAGGCCATGGCTCGAGAAGCAGACGGCTGGATTTATTAGCGCGTCGAAGCAATCGTCTGCAGATTCCAGCAATGCTTTAGTGATTCATTTTTTTCACTTTCGACAGAAGTGTAAGAATCCATACAGGTCACCAAGCGTAATGAAACCAGAAGCCTGTATGGATGGTCTTGTGGTATCGAATCTGATGTGGTAGCAGTGTCAACACTTTAATAATATCGAGAGCTGTTCAATTACCGATAGTTGTTCATTCAAATGCCGCCACACTCTTTTACTTCAGGACTCGTTGCATCGACCGAGAGTGCTATCACTTGTGTTAACTACAAAGTTAAATCGACTCGCTGGTAATGGCATGACATACTAGATTACACGGACTATTATGGTTTCATGAGATGTAAAGGTCTTTTTTGTATAACAAATCTCCACACTGTGTCGTGGACAAAGCAATGACACGAAATTTATACCTAGTATGCGTACATGTATGAGCGTAAAGACGCTGCACTGTGCAATTAGTAGAGTACCGCACCAAGTCAGGAAGATATAAGATTTTACTTCTGCGGTAACAAAAGACGTGGCTACAAAAGAGCTAAATTGGATTGCGCGCGAAGTTGAAACGAAAGCTGCATATTCGACAGCGTGACGAGACTCCAAACGCACAAGGACAGGGTCATTCAGTTGGAGGTTCTGCCAGAGATGTGAAATCGGCTACTCTTAGCCATTACATGAAGGTGCATTTATGTACCTTCTGTATGTATTGTGGGAATTTATAAAAGAAGAGTACAGTAAGGAAATTCCAAATGCATACGTGATTATATGAAGCCACAACGTTCTGTGTGATACAGAATGCTGGTTCCTACTTGGGGATCTGTTCTGGTGACGAAACCGTCGTATCTCTGTCTTTAGAAATCGGTGATGTCAGCCAGGCACTTCTACTGGATGCTTTCTACGAAAGTTGAAGCTCAAGCTTTCGAAGTGGGGGCGTAAGCCAGTCCCTTCTACTGGATAACTTCTACAAAAGCTGTACTTCAAACTTTCGAAATTCAAGCTCCGTACATCGAATAACTTTTAATAGTTGAAGCTGAGGTTCAATCTCAGTACACCCTTGATTTAAAAATTAAGAGACCAAAATTTATCAGTAAAACCTCCAAGAGCCCTTGGGGTCTTTTGAATGTAGTTAGGAATCACAACTCTTTTTAATTCAGTTGCAAACTTGCTTTATAGGGCTTAAGTCGTTCTTCTTCCGTCCAAGTCGGAACTGTCCTTCTCTAACGAGATACTTTAATATCTAATAAATTTTGATTTTTCAATTGATAAAATTTATTCAGATCTGGTTGCTTTGTCTGAGATTACTAGTCCCAGAGCACTTACCAATAATATTCTTCAGCAATACGTTCTTTGTATTAATCGGGGTCTTTTTCAGCACGGCAGCACTGTCTGGCTTGTTTTAAACAGGACTGGTCGTCACTTTTTCCGACCGCAGAAAGTGATGGTCGATATGGCCACTGGAAGATGCATACGCCCTTCAGGAATACATCGTACTTCAAATTCTCATCGTTCGGGTCGAATCGACGACATAATATGGATCTCAAGGCTCCATTAAATAGTAGAGGAGGTTGTTAGCTGAAAATTCCCATGGAGCTATGACCTCTTTAATTGCTAAGCTACTCACCCTTAGCGTTTTCGCTACACCTGCAAAAAATGAGCTGCCTAGCTTGTAGCCAAGGCGAAACTTGATTTTTGCAGTATGGCGTCATCCTTGCGGCAAATTTGGCGAGTCGATTCGTCATTATAGATGGAACGGGGTTACACGTCCCCTGGTAACAGGGATGTGTGTCACACGAGATGTGCGTGGTTAGACCACACCCAGATAAGAGTACGGTTCGGGGGCTAGGTAGCCAGTAGTTATGCATGTATTGAGATTTTACTATATATATTTAATATATTTAGGAAAATCTTAACTTATAAACTTAGGATAAAAAAATAAATAAAAATCAGTTCAGGATTTTAAACCAAAGAGTCAATTAGCATTGGAAAGGCAATAATTACTCTTGGAGTAAGTGGATTGCGATCCGCTAACTCATACTTGGTTCTTGTAAAGAACGAAAGGTCGTTGCCATAACTTACGCTTCCTCAAACGCTAAGCTACGGCAGCCCCGCTGCACTTGGTAGCACATGTAGTCAATCTAAACTTGAGTCGTTTAGACTGATCCTCTGTGAGGATGGAGAATTCCTCTTTGCCCCAGGACATGCAGGACGGGGTTGATGAGCTGATGTCCTTGCTTGGCCCTGAGGGCGTGCAACACCTTGTAGCACAAGGCCCCGA